TTCCAAAAAAAAAAAAAAAAAAAAAAAAAGTTAGCTTCCTCGTCCTTCGGTCCGCTTAGGTGCTTTTATTGTTTACTGTCTGTTTAATGCCATTCCAACGAGATCAATCATCAATGTTTGTATATGGTCTGTGACCTTAACTCCTTAACTCATACACCTCCCGGCCTGAGTGGGATTTAAACCTTAGACTTTCCTGTACCGAATCAGGGAGTCCCTCCCTCATTTATACTCTTTCTTTTCTTCTTCTTGTTCTTCTTCTTTTCGCATCAATATTCACATTTCCATTACTTGACCAGATCAGAGGATGGGGACCTCTACATCACTCCCGGAGAAAGAATCGTCCAGCTTAGCGTACTGGCTGAAAGTCTGCAGGTCTTTTCGACAGACCTCACAGCTCGGTGAATGCTTACCTTGACCACCGTAAATTGCCTCCATCTACTTAATCCCAATATAGTACACTACTACTACTGTCCAACCGCCTCCTACCCGTACAAGGTCCCACATACGAACCTGTGCAACCCTGGTTCCAGGAGGTTAAGCCACCCTGCGAAGCGACTGTCAGAGGTCCTGGCCTTCCTCGAAAGAAAGACCAGAAGATGATGGGAACCCAGCCCAGCATCCCTCAAGATAATATGAGAATAGTATAATACTAATAATGATATAAGATGGTGATGATGGCAATGGTGAGATTTGAAAGGGGTAAATTCAGTAGAGGCACAAAAATGAGTTATAAATGCACGATGGGGCCAGATACAGTTGGCAATTGCACTTCGGGCACCCTACCTGTCCAGAAAGCTGGGTTGTATACATTGCCTGAACTGCAATTCGAAACTGTATCTTGGCCCATAGTGCAATTATAACTCGTTATTGAGACCCCCGCGTAGTTTCCCCTGTTTAAAAATCACTGAACCACCACAGAAAATCTGACTTCTTATTCGCTACTCTATACTCCTAGCCTACCTTATACCATACACAGCACTTCAAAGGTGATGATGTCCACTCCTGATTTGCAGCTCATCCCATTGTCATAACCTTTGCTCTTTCTTCCACCCACACTTGAGCAGATATGGGATGCAGACTCGTCGTTTCTTCAGAGACGGTTAATGGAAGGCCCGAAATTTGGGGTTTTTCGCTGCATCACCGCAAGCAATGTCGCCGAAATTTTCATGAACAAACAATGCAGGCTCATAATACAAACATAAAAAAAAAAAGAGGCAAAAAACAACGAAGGAAAAAAAAAACTCAAAAGCACTATAAATAGTATAAAACCCTATTCGGAGTAGCTTTTGCATTTTGCCAAATATTTCTCCGAATTTGGTGTTTTAACTTTTATATTGTTTTTGCCAACTTTTTCGTTACTGGACCAAATGCGTGGAAACTGAATACGGAAATACCCTAAAGCACATACATATCACACACACACACACACACACACACACACACACACACACACACACACACACACACAAAGAACAAACAAGACAAAAGCAAAAATTCAGGGAAATATAGCAGTTTCGCTGAAAATTTTCACCGAAAATGACCCAGCTGTGACACCACCTATTAAGTCTGTTTCCTATGCTGTTCTCCTGCTGATTTCTTTTTGCTGACAGGATCGTTGAAAAAACGCCTATGCAAGCACGGGCAGTGATCAGAGAGGGCCTCTCGGATTGTCTTCAAATGCACCAGTCCATCGTTCCAAACACGGCTGATTAAAACATAACCTATCCGACTGCAGCAACCTGCCGTACTTCCACTTGTAGTGGCAGAAAACCAAGTCTCTCCAGAGTCATGAAAGACTGAAAGGGATCTGAAAGGGATATGAGTCTGAACGCACCAACCAGATAATTTGAGCCCTCAACCATAAATGAAACGGTATTCCCCAGTTCGAAGTAGCTGATGTAGGTCCCAGGGCTCGATCCCTAGTTCCCCAACTTACCTGTGTACAATACCTGTGTAGTTGTAGGACTTGARCCTGTGACCTGTAGGATAGCCACTTGCAGGTAGGTCATCGTAGGCACCARAGAAGTAAGGGATTCGAACCACAGACCTGTAGGGCAAAAATCGAAGTAGGGTCCAGAGGTCTTCTAGAAGGTCGACCAGTGGGCAAGTGGTGTAGCTAAGTCTACTTGCGCCGTAGGACTGTGACATCTGTTGAAGTCAACTGGTAGG